TACCCAGCGGCAATCAGTAGTAGTAGCCGCAGCCAACTGCGGCAGTGGCTATCCCTAGTAACGGCTTCCAGCAGCCGTATACAGTTACTAGCAACCACTGCTCCCACACCGTCCTTTAAACGCCGCACAGTACACAGTGGCGGTATGCGCACAACAACCAGCAACTACAGTAGTTGTCCGCCGCTGCAGCCCGCAAGCAGTACATCGGCGTAGAAGCAGCACCCGACGATGGTCAACAGCAGCCATCACCAGCCGCCACGGTCCATATACAGTGCACGACCGCAGACCACCCACGATGAACAACAGCGCACAGCACGCAACAACAGGTCCTCCCTAGCAGCATAGTGGCGATGGTTGCCTTGAGCACCGTGCATAGCACTGAACTGCGGAGCACAACAGCAACAGAGGTCATAGTAGGGCAATAACACCAGCAGCCTTTGCACAACACGAACAACCTCTTCTCCCTGCTTCGTCCGCAGACAGCAGCAGCAACGGTCAGTAACACCCAAACTGCAATTAAGTAACTCGCGGACGAACCTTCCACCGGGCTACGGTCAGGTACGTGCTCCTTCAGTTCTATGGTTAGCCCTCCGCTACTCCCACGGAACGCCCAGGCGACGAGTCTGCCAACCAGTAAATCTTCCGCCGTCGGCTGTGCTCCCACTATCTCCCCTGTCCGGCCGAGCAAGCCGGACTGAGCTGCCTGCTGGTGCGCACCGGCCCTTCTTCAGTCGGGTCAAAGCCACGGTAGATATATAGCTACCCGTGGCCGAGCTCACACTACCTCGCACATCAGAGGTGAGCCGCCCACTGGCAAACGAGTACTCTGCACTATCGAGACCCGCCCCCGACTATTTCGTCCGGCAGGCCTCACAACACGCTGACCAGCTGGCCAGCCACCCGATCCTGTACCCAACAAAGATCGAATGTATCCCCCGCTAGGACACAGTCGGGTGCTCTGCCGTCGTGGGTACTTGGGGAGGAGGGAGGGAGTTTTTCGTCGGTAGGCGGAGTGACACACCAGGCCACAGGTAGTCTTCAACCTGCCGGCCGCAGCTCCCGTAACAGCAGCGAACAAGACCAAGTGGATCTTTCCCTGAGACGAGGCCAGGTACATCATTATTCTGCCATCCTCCTCTCCCCATGCATCCCCTACACGTCGCAGCACCCAGGCGGCTGCTCCTCGATCAGTCTGACGTCGCCACTAAGATCGCAACATCCAAAAACCACCCTCCCCTCCGTACTCTCACCCCAATGTGTGACATCAGAATGACCCATCCGCCAGGATGCGGAATGGTACATCCGAAATTCTTGAGGCCTTTACTAGTAGTCGCGCAGCCCCCGCCATTTGTAGCCGTCGAACGGGCGCCCGGACCGAAGTTCCGTCGCGGCCATCTCGTCCGTAGCACCCCTGAACCCCGAGTTAGGCTGTCACCTGGCTCGAAACCATTAAGATTCGGGTAAGATAGCGATTTTTTTTCGATCCCCGTTTCTTCATCCTTCTCCTTCCCGCCATAGCTCGGCGGGGCCCATTCTCTTTATTGCCATCCCCAAACGTACGTGGTAGGAGTTAACGTCCAGGTTCGTGCCACCCCCCGTCCTTTCTGTTGACTTCAACTCGAGCCAGGGTGCTACTGCCGACTAGCCCTCCTGCGGCTGATCGTTACGGCAGTCGGCGTGATAAACAACAATCCAAAAAAAAAGGGGAGACCCGCCCATGGTTTTATACGCGTCGGCCCTACTCAGGGGCCGCGTCAGTCTTCCTTGTATCGCTCCGATTTTAACGGATGTCCCGAAGGACTTCTATCCCGGCTTAGCGCCCGCCAACGGCCCTTCGGGGTTCGGGCGGCCTCAGTGTCACCCTGCCCCGGTAGGACTGCGCCCGAACCTGGCCCATACTTCAAGCCTTGTGCGTGCCAGCCCTGCATAGGGGTCATACGGATCTTCTTCGTATCGCTCCAGATCCAGCGGATGCTCGAAATGACGTCACCCCGGGTCAAAGCCCCCACGACCCTTTTTGCCTTTTTGCCCCCGCCCAGCCTGATTCACGTCCGGGTTCACTACCGGATGCGCTTACGTCGCTCTGGCATAGGGGCCATGCTAATCTTCTCTGTTTCATTCCAATTTTTTTTTAGCGAATGCCTCGAAGGACACAGCCGACAACTAGCGCTTTAGGCGACCGGGTACGGCCTGATCCACGCCCCCCCCGTTTTTCGTAGGTACCCGGCGCGGTCTGCGTCCGGGTTCTCCCCAAGCTTTTGCGCCCCGTCCTTACGCAGAGGCCGGGCAGGTCACCTCGGTACTGATCCGACCCCAACCGATGTCCCAGAGGCCCCAGCCCGTCCGCGGAGGCTGCCGGCCCCAGGCAAGTCAGAATGCCTGGCTTCACCCACCAGTTCCGCCATCAAGCGCGGCTTGCTTTTCGATGGCTCATGGAGGTGCCCATCCCGGTCCCGCGCGCATACGGGCACAAAAACAAAGGAAATAAATAAATACTAGTAACAAAAAAAATCTCAAAACAAATAAATTATACATAGATAGATATGTAAAACCCCCGCAGAGCGTGTGGCAATCGGGTGGAAACCGCGGCCCCCAAAATTGCAAAAGGCGAGGGGGATAGTCCCACAGGCCCATCAACCCCTCAAGCCTTTCCGCCGCGCTCCTCCGCTCCCTTACCGCATGCTGTTGACCTCGATCCCTGCACCTCCGCCGCAATAGTCCAATGCCATAACCGATAGGGCTAAGCCCAAGCCTGGTACCAGCCCGCGCGGCCTCCCATATAAAGTGGTACCGTGCGGTGCTCCGGGCCAAAATACCGCCTCGGCCGTCCTTTCACCCCACATTTGACCCTGCGGCCCCTAGGTGCCCATGCTGGGCCACCGCCCCGCGCTATGGCCATCCCATGTGCCTATTGGCATGCCAATCCTACCGTCGGTCGCGCGCGCTGACCAATAACGGACTTTCGACCCCTAACCAATCCCGTGGCCTTGTACGGGCCGTGCCACGATCCGGGTCGGTCGGCTACCCTGGCCGCCCTGCTCAATCAGAAAAATCACACGCGCGCCTTAAAATTGCGCGCCCACATACTCCCTACCGGGATAAGGCAGACCTTTGCCCGCGTGCGGGCGACCATCGCATTTTCCCGCACGGGCGCTCAAAATCCAGGCTAACCGAGCCTCCCTGTCACTTGCAAAAACCAGGGCGGATACCCTTGTAAGGGTATTCGCGCCGACAGCTTACCGGACCATATTAAGCGACGTCCCTGTCGCGTCGCCAAATCAAAAGGCTATAGATTTCTTCACACTCCAAATGTTGACGAGATTAGAACCAATCCGATTGGCCGACAGACCCAGGGTTGAGGCCTCCATCAAACCGTGCCAACACAACTATATGCTGGCAGGGTTTCAACATGGGTCCCATTGTCTTGACACCAGGACGCTGGTGTATTACGCATTGATACTACTACATAAGTTCCAAAGGCCCTCAAACCATCCTCTTTCCCTTTTGTCCTAGACAACCGTCGGCCTCTCGTTGGGTGTCCCAGTTAGCCTCTTTTTCGTAGACAGAGCCACAACTAGGGACGCGGGCTTTGAATGGGACCTGTGAAGACATTCTTGCCTTTTTCCGATAATTTTTTCACCATCAAACAAAATACATATATAAATAGCTTATAGCCTCTCTTGGCCTTTTCTGCAGTCTAGTACAAAAACGCCAGGTCTTCATCTGAGCCCACCATAGCCTGGTTGATCGGGCCAGGTCTACGGCCCACCGCATTGTTACCTTAGCAGCGGTATCCTCCCGTTGGTTATACAACGATAGGCATTTTTCCTGACAATCAGTCAGTCAGAATTTTCCAAAGGACTCGACTCCTATCCCGCGGAGTAATTTCTCTGGGCGGGCAACTCCCCTTAAACTCTTACTTCGCGGGCCCGCAGCCAGGTTAAGCCGGCTAGCAGCCCTCCACTAGGGGTTACGCCCAGGTGGCACTAAACTTTACCGTTAGCTTGGTATTCCTTTAAATATGTCTCAGAATTAGCACAGGTGGTCGTGCGGGGCCTCACAAACAATTCACAGGCCGCTGCGGGACTACACAGGGGTCTGAAGGCATTTACCGACCCTCCTATAATAGGCACGGCATCCTTCGCTTAATCACAAACAGTCTCTCCGCCGGATCCACAAGGTCGCGGCTCCTGACTTGATTAGAGTCAACAGTCGCCCATCTTGAGGCATCTCTCGCCCTTTTCGAACATTTCAAGCAAACATGATTCCCTCTCGTCAGGCTTTATCAACACAAAACAATGTTTTCCGTGCCACTCAATTTTTACCCACCCTTACTTGGTAAAGGGTGCCTCTCACAAAAGATTTCACGGCCATCCCTTTTTTGTATGGGATGACTCTTCACACGACCTCTTCCAAACCATGAAGGGACCTCGATAACAATGCAATTCCCACCTCCCAGAACCATGAAGGGGGGTTTTAATTACAAACAACTCAAACTGAGGGACCATCTTCTGGGTCCTTGTACAATTTAGACCACGGTGTTCAATATGACCAAGCGTGCAAACTTCTAAATCCTTCAATCCTGTAGGATTCTCACAATTTTTTACAAACAGGCTGCACTCCCCTTCCTTATACTCTGCCCTCTCGTCTGCTTGCAAGCAGACCGCACGAGTATACCGGAAGGTAGACAACTTTACAACTTACACAATCATGCCTACGAGATGTATCCTGTACACCCCTCATACAAAGTCAATCATACATCAGAATAAGGCCACACATGTGAGAGTGATAGTGGTCGTCGCAAGACAAGTCCCATAGAATCTCAACCCATGATACACTCAGGGAGTAGAATGCCTCCTTCAAGACTCAAACACAAACACTCAACTCAAGCTCTGTCCATGTGAGCATGGCTCCCGACTCCACCGTACACTCGTGGAACACGCTCGGAACACACCATCTACCTAAAATCTAATGAATGCCTAACCCCCTGTCTCACCCAACTAGGGAAAACTCATACCCAAGTCTCCCTCAAACTCAAATAGTCTCTACATCGCGAAACCAAAAATAGACTGAATAGTCCCATGTGTCCTACGACCAACCCTCATGCTCTAAGTCGTAGCCTATGAAAGAAAAGCTCAAGGAAAGCACAATCAACTATGTATGTATAAGCAGGCAGGGACTCATCCTACCACCTCCAAAGTGTGCACACATCTAGGACCCCCTCAGTCAGCTAGACATATGTACACCTTCAGCCCGCCCCCTGTGTGCCAAATACTCAGACCCTACTGACACATAGACAGACCAGTCGCTACTTATACAATTTCTCCTGGTTCTGCCTATATAACCGAGCCCTGCCCCCATCTGGAGCCCGCTCCACTATCCTGCCCTGCCTGTCATAGAACTTGCCGTTGAACTCCGCAACTCGCCCCTCGGCTTTATCCTCGAGGAGTTCTGGGCAGTCCACGGCTCTATGCCCTTTCTCCTTGCACCAAAAGCAGGAGGTATCGTGCCACCTGCCAGTCTTCTTCTTTCTCCCCTGGGAACTCGATGCTGAAGGCGTCCCCATAGTCTCAGTGGTCACCTCATGACATGAGGGCGATCCCATATGGCCCTGAGGTCCGGGCTCCATAGCCTCTGCACCCTCACCCTCTCGTACGGCTGTGCTCAATGGCCTGCAATCTGGCATGTCCAACTCTCGGGGTCCCTCCTCATGAGGCCTCTCTATCACCATCACCGCCTTATCCCCACATGATCCTGACGGCTGAGAGCCCACTATGGCGGTGGAATCACTCATGATCTCCTGCTGCTGCTGCCGCCCTGAGTCAGGCCCTCCTGAGTTCGTCTCTGTGGCCCAGGAGCCCAGCTCCGCCCTCAGTTCTCCCAACCTCGGGGCATACTCTGGAGCGTCGAGTCTCTGAGGCCTCTCCTGTGGAGTACCTACCCCCATGGCTACCGCCAGCTTATGCAAACGCGAGCCTCTCCTCTCCGTGGACATAGCCATAAGCGACTCCTGTGCGCCACCCTCCTTCTCGGTCGTATCCAAGGGCACCTCCCCCATTGGCCCGTCCTGCCGAGGGGCCTCCACCGCTGCCCCCCGACTCGACGAAGCGTGCGTCCCCCGGCCCTGGCCATCGGCACCAGCTGGTCCTGTCTGACTAGCCTCCCAGGCTGCCGAGAGCCTGTCCACAATGGCTGCCATCTCCCCAAATCTCCTTTCCCACTTGACCTCCTTAGCCTGGCTCCTCGCCCCCTCCTCGGCAAGCTGAGTAGTCAGGTGCTCCACCTCCAACCTCCTAGCCGTGAGCTCGTCGTTGAGTAGGCTATACCGCTGGAACGATGTAACCGCCACCTCGCGCATCCTCTTATCCCCGAGCTCGATCGCCATCCTAGTCGCAGAGAACCCCGAGTCCCCCATCTCTCTTAGCTCACCCGCCTCTTCGTCCGCCTGTCCCTTCTCTTGTGACCTCTGGCAGGCTGCATCCCTCTGGCACTCATATATGGCCCACAACTCGTCGATCCTCTGCTTGCTTGTCTTGGGCTTGACCGGCGGTGTCAGCTCTATCCCTGCTGCCTCCATCTCAGCCTGCCTCGCGTGTATTTCATCCAAACGGACTCGCACTCTGACAGACTTCTCTTCGCGGGTTTCTCTTGGGGCTCTTCTCACTCGCGGCCCCTGGCCTTCCGGAGTCGACGCCTCGGCACCCATCCTCTCGCTCATACTCGGCAATGCCGGCGGTAGCCCTTACAGTACAGGCTCCTCGATAGTTGGGCGGAACTGGTGGGTATAACGGAGGGTAAATCGTGAATCGCCTTCGTCCTCGCTCCCTCACCCGCCCCCTGCTCCTCCATCTCTGCCTCCTGCTCAGGCACCGCAGTGGTCTCTGGGGGAAACTCCGGAATCTCCTCGCTGCCTGGCTCAGGAATCCCCTCTGGCCATGAATGCTGCGCTGGCTCCGGAACTGGGGAGCATGGATGGGTATCGTCTCCGATCGTGATCACCTCCCCGCCCTGAGGCCGTACCAGCTCCGACTTCTCGGCTGCCATTCCAGGATCCTGCGGCCCCTCTCGGTCTCCCATGTCCGTCTCTGTCTCGGGGTCCAAAGGCTCCTCCAAAGGCACATAGCGCGCCGGCTCAATTGAGCCCTCCCCCAACCGCGAGGCCTCCCATCGAGATACATCAAGGTGAGTCGCTAAGCTCCGGAATGGCGTCTCTCCTGGTATGTCCAACTCCTGCCCTGATGGCAACGGTGAGGGCGGTCTCAGTTCCTCGCTCGTAATCCGCCGAAACTCAACTGCCCGGAGGCCACAAGTAGGGAACGACTCCTTCGCAGATGCGGGCCCTGCGGACTCATCCTCCCGCTGTGCCGGGGCCCTCCTCCTCTCTCTGGCCAGCCCCACCTCTCTCGGCGCTGATTCCCTTGGCCTCTTGCTTCGCCTTCGCCTCTCGACCCTGGGCTCGGGCCTCTCACGCTCTGGCCGTCTGAACGCCCTCCTGAGTTGGGCCTGGCAGTCCTCCCAATCTCGAGCTCTCTCCTAGATCTGTCTGGCCATCGGCCTCTCTGCCCCCCTTATCCAAATAAGTAGGGCCTGTACCCACTCCTCCCGCGCAATCCCCTGACTCAACATGTAGTGCTCATACGTGGGAATAAACTCCTCCGCGTTCCCTTCCTCTAACCAAATGGGCATGTCGTCACGTCCCCTGGGCGAAGCCCTCAGTCTCTGCATCCCGGCCTCCATATCTGGCCAAGTCAGGGTCTCCTCACATATCTGAGCGACAGGCTCCTCAAATCGCCCTATACCCCTCAAGTGGTGAATCCTCTCCGCCACTGACCACCCTCTCTGTGCCGCGTGATCCCGATATACGTTCAGGAATAGCTCAATATTATCGTCATCGAACTCTGGTGTAGGCTCTCTCCTAGCTGGTCCGTGCTGCTCGCCTCTCCCTGCTACCCTCTGGGGTCCCTGTCGTGGCCGTGCATCCCGCCCGCCCCTCTGCATGACTGCCTTCGAAAAGTCAGATCTGCACAACAGGCGAGAGACAGCAAACATGCATACAGCAGGGTCAGCAACTGAGCCCATTGACTTAGGGAAATCCCACATATACTCCACACCCATCCACCCCAATCACCCACCTATCTAATCACCTGACATGGGTAGTACTTAGGCAAGACTCTATTCCTAACGAGGTCATGGTCCCTTACCTATTCCCTGGTCACGAACTTCTTCAGCCTCGTCCCTGATACCCAGTCTTGCCACCCCGTCCCATCCAGCTCTTCAATTTGGTAGGCCCCAAACTCGCCACACCGCACCATCCTATAGGGTCCCAGCCACCGTTTGTCGAGCTTCCTAGACCATTGTTTTTCCAGCGAGGAGTCATACAGCAATACCGCATCCCCAACTTTCAACGGATCCTTTCTTACCCGGGCCATCTGGTCCCATCTCATCTTGTCTTCCATGCGGCTTCTCTCTACCTGACCAGCGGCTTCTCGCAACCTTTCCTCAGCAGCTCCCACCTTCCGCGCCTGGATATCGAGCAATTCTTCAAAAGACAAGTTCACTTCCAAGTCCTGGCGCCTCCACGTCTTCATGAAACTTTTTATGGGAAAGGTAGCATGCCTTTCGTACCATAGTGTGGCTGGCGCATACTTGGTAGTCCTTTTCACTGTAACATTTTCCACGAAGAAAGCTGCTCTCAGGAACTTCGGCCACTGGTTAGGCCTCCCTTCAGTCCATTTGGCCAGAAGATTTGTGATGGTACTATGCCCTCTCTCCACAGGTGCGTTTGCCTGGGGGTGCGCGGCAATAGTATAATTTGCTACCTAGCCATACCCCGCAAGTAAGGTCCGCACCTCGTTACAGGTGAACTCCGACCCCCGGTCCATCACAAACTCCCTAACAAACGGATAACGCAGGTAGTACTCTTCGATGCACCTTGCTAAAACTGGGTCAGTTTTCGTACGAATAGCCCGACCGTCCACGAACCCGGTAAGGTTGTCCCCTGCGTCGAAGATATAGTTATTTCCATCCTCCTCGAGTGGCATAAACAACAGATCCAGGTGTACGACTGCGCCCACTTCCCTTTCCAGCCTGGGGTGCAGAGGCTCCTCAGGCCTCTACGCTGACCTCTGCTGGCAAGGCACACATGACTGGCAGTACTTGATGACCATAGTCAGCATTCCATCCCAATGGTATAACTCGTTTATCTTTGCGCACGTGGTACTAACCCCTCTGTGCCCCCTTGCTATACCATCGCGCAAGGCTGCTATGACATCGATCTGCCGGTTCCTCCGACATACGATCCTCTTGGGGTTCCCAACCTGTCGCTTTATAAACAGATGGTCATCTCTTACTACGTAGAGATGCCTCATCTTCTGGGCTTTAGCACTTGCATCCCTATCCCTTATCTCGCACGACAGGAGTAACCCCTATTCCCGATAGATCCCGTCATATTCCTCTGCGCGGAAGGCCTCCCTAATTTCTCCCTCTTCGAACTCATCGTCATGGCTTTCAGGAACAATAAGTTCACTTTCCTCAGGACCAAATGGGTCCCTCTGGTTAAAGCTCCCCTGTAGGAGCGTATTAGTGAGCAAATACATCCCTCCCATTAATTGTTCATGCTCCTCTACCTGGGTAAGACCTTCCTCTATCGTCCTCACTTCTTCTGCTAGACTATGTGTACCCACCAATGCCAACTTCATCATCCAGCCAACATCCCTACTCCCCCACGGATCTTCTTCCTGGAAGGGCTTGAGGACCAACTCCTCCTTTCGCTCGTACCCCTTTGGTGCTAGCCATATAGGATGCGTGACGCAGCTAGGCACCCTCAACGACCATTCATTTATGTGGAGGCGGACATCCTCCTCCTGATCCAAGAACCCGTCGACTGGTGGGGTATCCTCAATTGACTCCTGGCTCGCCCCATCCCAGTTGATACGGCTCAGCCCATCTGCCCTGTTCTTGTCCCCTGGAATCCTCTCCAGCTCAAAGTTAAACATCCAAATGTAAGTCAACCACCTCGCGATGGTTGGGTCAGATGGAGCATAACTTTTCAGGGAACACGCAAGCGCAATAGGGTCCACCCTCAAGATGAGCCTCCTGCCAAGGATATAATTTCGGAAGGTCCTCAGGCAGTGGAGCACCGCCGACGTCTCCTTCTCTTAAACTGCGAGTAGTTCCTCTCAGTCGTATTGAGAGTACGACTTTCAAACCTTAGCGGCATCTACTTCTCGTCCACATCTACCTAAATCAGGACCCCTCCTAAGGCAGTTGGCCCAGCGTCCGTCTCGACAACGAATGGCCTTTCCTCCGTGGCCTCATAATTTGGCGCTCCCAGCACCAAGCCTCCTTCCTTGAACTCCCCCTTCATCCTTTCCACAGCCCTCTCCTGGTCTTCCCCCCAGACCCATTCCTGCTCATGACGCACCAGCTTCCTCAAATGCTCCGTCTTGGTGGCGAAGTCCTTCACAAAACTCCTAAAAAATCCACAGGTCCCAATGAAGCTTCTCACGTCCGTTATCGACTGAAAGGGGACTGACCACTCTAGGATCTTGTCCGTTTTCTTCACATCTGGCCTCCGCCCCTTCTCATTGCAGACAAAGCCCAAAATTGTGGCCTCCCTCATACAGTGCTTTGACTTGGGGCCGCTCGCCGTCAAATTATGCTCTTTTAGCAGACCCAAAACCTGATCGATATCCTGGATATGCCTCCAAACAAACCGTCTCACCCCTGACATCACTTCGTCTTCCTCCTTCTCCTTTGGACCCTTGACCGCCAGATCGTCGATGTAGGGCTGGGTAATATGTGGACTAACTGTCTGCATGGCCCTGATCATGTGCCTTTGCACCATCGCCACCGCATTAGTCCACCCCTGAGGGGCTACATTCATGTGGATCAGCCCCGTTGGCGTATGCATTGCCGTCACCGGCCTGTCCGGCGGGTACACGGGAAACTGGTCATACCTAGAATAAAGGTCTATAAGCGAGATTATAGGTCTTCCTGCGCATGATTCTGACAGGGCGTCCGCGTTCGGCAATCCTCCCACGTCCCGCACCGTCACCGCATTCAACCGTTGCAAATCCTGCACCCACCGTAACGTCCCGTTCGGCGTGATAAAACAAAACCAAGGGGAGGCATATGGCCCACTGGAGTAGTCTGCCACGTACGTCCGCATTTTCCTGTCCAAATAGTCCACCACCTTCTTCTCCTCATCTGGGTTTGGATATCGCGCGCCCCTTAGATTCCACGGCTCGTGTGGGACGGTATGGATTCGTATCATTGGGATCTTATCCACGTCCAACCTCCCATACTCGTCTTCATTAAATGCATACGCGCAATGCCTCCTCTTCATGGTCTCCACCATCAAGGTCCTCTCCTGGGGCGAAAGGAAGCCAGACTCGTCAATTATCAGCCCCTCATCATTCTCATCATTAATACGGCACGGCCCTGCCTGCGCATACTCCCGCATACATCTTATTAGTCCCCGCTCCCGCTCATAATAGGCCTCTTCATCCTCTGTAACAAGCACGGGGACTGGGCAACACTTCTTATCTACGGTTTTGTACCGCCTTTGGGAGCCCTGCTTAAGCCCTCCCCTAAAAAAGGACGACTTGTCGTTCGGGCTTGGGCCATCGCAGGGTCCCCTTTCCTTCATGAAAGCCGATCGATCAGTTCCACTTCTCCCACCTGAGGGCTCTCCAGGACCTGCTCCCTCAATGCCTATATAGCCTCAGGGTCCGCTATATCATGCGTCGCCACCACCTCCATTGCCTTATTCACATCGTTAAGGCTCAGGGACAATACCTCGCCTGCTCCTTCCTCCTCCTGTTCCTCCCGGAGTCTCCGTCGCTCGTACTCAGATTCCTCGAAGGTAAAGGAACCGAGGTTGAGCCTGTTTCTCCCACTTCCGGTTCTTGTGTTCCGGCACTTGATGATCTCGTAGTTCCCGCAGGCCGGATCAGATAAGGCCAGGATCATCGTCCCCTCATGCCTATTGAAGACCAAAGTCTCCGTTCGACAAAGGAACGACCTCCCCAGAAGGATAGGGTGGTCGACATCGGGCATGACGAAGAAGCACATTCGCATCCTTACCCTCCCAATTTCCACCATCACGTTGGACGCGGTGCCGCAGAAAATCGCCTTACAGTTGGCACCATGCAGCACGCCATGGTCCGAATGGTCAACCTCCAGCCCTAGCATGGTCGCGTCCCGCTCCTGGATGATATTCATCTCAGCGCCCGTGTCCACCATTGCGATGCTCGGCTGGTCTCTCACCTTCAGATCCACCAATCCGCATGCCACACATTTCCAGTCCATCTTGGTGCCCGCCTCTGTCCACTCTATCTCCTTGGGCATAATTGAGCTCAGGTGGACGTTGGGTACTAACCTTCGTGAGAGCCGCCCTTTCAGTTCACCACGGAGCCTTGGTGCCGACGCCAAGATGTCCTTTAGATTCATCAAATCATTGTGGCCCTCCAGGAGCTTGTCCACCATTCGCTCCACGTCAAAGCCCTCCTCCAGCCGAACTGCGTACTTCTTCCTTTTTGGCACGCCATCGTGCAGGCTCGGCTCCGCCCCTCCTTGAATCCCTCTCTTCTTGGCCCTCTGCTCAACTCGCCGATCTTCTTCCTGGCGGAGCCTCTCATCCTCTTCGTTATCACCCTCATCTTCCTCTTCCTGAACCTCCACCACTTCTTTCCTTCGTTCCGGCTCAGGTTCCCTTCGAGGAGGCGCCTGACCAGGTGCCTGGCTGGGCCCTTGACTAGCGGTAGCCTTACTTTGGCCCCTAGTCTGCGAGGCCTGTGGCACCCCTCCATGCGACGTAGGGGGCCTGAAGGTCATCCCTGACCTAGGACCTGCTCCGGCTGTTGCCACACTTGGGCATCCCTGCGGTCCTGATGACGACTCCGGGCCGGACCCATAGAGCATCACTTCAGGGAGGTTCATTTCCCACTCTCGGGTCTCCTCACACATCACCCTCAACTGTTCCTGGTACCTGCCCACCTTCGCCAGCAGGTCCTCCATCGTTTCCAGGATGGTCAAGGCCGACTCTCTTACCACCTCCTGCGCCTCATCGTCTGACTCAACGACTATAGGCTCCTCCTTCATAGTCCCCGCCTTTATCCGTTGATTCACTTCTTCATTTTCATCCACAATCTCTTCGACCCTCACACCCGGATCCTCCCTTTCTTGCCATATTCTGAACATTGCCGAGGCGGCTGGTGGCCCTGCCGCCGCTCACCTGAGGGCTTCCTGCCTAATTCCTCCCGGGGTCTTGGGGTCGATGTGCTTCCCCCACCTATCGTATATGTCCCCATCCATACATGAGGAAATCAGTCCTGCCAGCTTATCGTCCCACCGCTGTTGACAAAACTGTATAGTGTGGCCCACCTCGCCACAATGCCAACAAGTTGCGTTCCGCCAATCAAAGCGGGGCCTCCCGTACCCTTGGCCCCCTTCCTGGCTGCCTTGGCCACCTTGATTCTGACACCCTTGACCATTCCATCCTCCCCCACGGCCTCCACCATTTCCTCCTCGCCCCCGGCCGCCCCCTCCTCTACCCCCTTGGCCCCGACCTCCATTGCCTTGCCCGCCTTGTCCTTGGCCCCCTCCCCCGGCCACACTAGCTTGCGAGGCCTGTTGGGAGGGCGACGCTTGGGCCACAGGCTAGCCTTGAGCCGCTGGGTAGCTCGGGGGGCCCATACTTGCTGATGGGCCCGAGTAGGGGACCATGTGTCCCGTGTGGGCCTGACTCCCTCCACACGAGACACAGTGGTTGCAACTGGGCCAGGGCGCGGACTGACAATGCGGCACCCAGTGCCCGCAAGCTGGTGGCGGCCCCATGTGCAATGGTCTTGCTGGCGCTGCCTCGGCCGCTGCGACAGGCGGTGGTGCGGCAATGGCTTGGGGAGCCTGTCCTTTCCCTGACCCCTGCCCTCCCAGCAGCAGATTGCGCTGCTTCCTCTGGGTCTTAGTCAGGGTTTGGGAACCCGTCTCCCCTCCGCCGTAGTCTTCCTGCCCAGCCTCCTCATCTACTGCACTTGACGCCCGGCCTTGGGCCACTAGCACCCCTCTTTTCTGTATCTCCGCTTCGTTATCATACCCTTGTGCCGCCAACACGTCCGTGACGATTCTCTTCACCCCTGGGGTCCCGGATGCGGTAGCATCCCTCTCCTTCCTCTTGCGCCTTTGCAGCCTCATTTGGTGCTGCTCCACCTGGTCCAGGCTCCCTTCTTCCACTCCCTTGTCAATGGTTGCCCAGGTGAGCCTCTCACTCCCTTCCCCATACTTTGTCAGCTATGTGGCCTCCGAGCCCGTAAGCAGCCCCAAAAATGTGGCGCAGTGCGCCTTCTCAGAAATCCCATGCACTTTCCTCGCCTTTTTCTTGAACTCGTGCATGAACGCCCCAATGGTAGAGAAGTTTTCCTTGTTCATGCCCTCCAAGTCGGCCATGGTCAACAGACCATCCCCCAGCCTGTACTTCCTTCGCATCAGGTCCCCAAACTTTGTCCAACTGCCACCGGCGGCGTCCACGACCTTACTTATTTCCCGATGGTGACTATGCAGGACATACCTTAGAACCCGCTGGAGCTTGACCTCATCTAACAGCCCTACCAACGCCTGCTCTGTCAGATCCAACCAGTCAGATACCCGATCCCCCTTGAAATGGAATGTCTCGACCTTTGGGACATTGCCCGGCGCCCTCTCGCGCTTGTCCAAGGCATCGATGAGGTCGTCGAGAGTCACAAGCCTCCTTCCACCGTCCGCCATCTCTTCCGACATTTTGATCAATCGCCTCCGGCTTCAAACTTCCTGTTATAAGAAACGATAGGACAAAAGACCCCACTCAGTGACTCAATCCTTCACGATCCTATCGGGTAGACCACTTAGACACCCCATACTCTAGACCTAGCAGGCATTCCTCTTCCTATTTTCCTTAGGCTCACCTAGATAAGGCCTATCCTTACCATAGAGCCTCCTCACACACTTGCCTCATTCAAGCCTTCAGCCAAGCCGCCAATCAATCAATTATTCAACCCACAGTCATATAGATAACCATACAGTACACCTCATAATCTTTCCCTTACTCACTCATATGCCTAGTTTCTCCCTCACTCCCATACCCGGATGTCGTTCCACTAGGGACAACTGTAGGCTTCCGTTATCCCGGGCAACGGCGCCACCTGTCGAGCGCATCGGTCCGGCACCGCGCGTGGCATGTGGGACCCTCTCGGCCGTGTCACGCAGGAGTTGGACCAACCTCGACACGAATGAGCAAATGGAGCTTCCTTGGGCCGCTCCGGCCGAGTGCGCCAACCATACCTCTCGCGAGCCCCTACGACAGGATAGGGCCTACGCGAGGCACGACTTACTTCCACCTTACGGAAGCTGTCACCTCCCATCGGTGGGCGTATCCCCGCCGAGCTACCAGTCCACAATACAAAAGCTAATCAATTGCAATCGCAGAGGTGGACCAGCCGAGGGCGTTTCTCGTTCGCTGTAGCATAGGGGGTACGCGTGGTAATACACCTATCGGACCCGCACGTGAACCGACATCTTGGGGGGCTGAAGTCCCAAGCGCGGCTCGTCGTTGGTTGACTAGGACGCATCCCACACACCACTCTATGAACACGAAAATAAGACACACGCACGCACACACATACGCAAAACGCCACAACACAAGCAACGCGATAACGCTCCTAGCCCCTCAGTAGTCGTCCCATAACTTTCCACTGTGGAAGAATCGGACAAGCGTCGTGCGCGAGACTTAGCATAAAACTGCGCGGATGCAAGGCCTACTCATGTCGACTCGCAATGCAAGTGCATATAAATGGTCGCGATGATGGCGTACTATGTGGTACTCACGCTCGCGCGACCCTCGTTAATCTCGAGGGTCGCGTTCGACACTCAAGTGTCGGCTGACACGCGCCTTGAGGGTTAATCTCTCGAGGCCAGACAACCGCCAAGCGCGGTTGAAGACCACACACCCTCTTCTGCACCCTTGTGCAGAGCGGGTGGTACACAGGTCCAGAACCTGTGGTGGTAGTCGCCWCTCGCGACCTTAGGGGTAAGTCCTCCCTAGGGCCTGGGCGAAAGTCAAGGGGTTTGACTTTGACGGCTGCCACGGACTACAACGTCCAACCATAAAATTCTCTAAAAAGCAAACAAGACACGCACGAGCCCAARAAGAGGGAATAGGGCAAGGTCCCCTGACTTTAAAAAGGCTCGTGGCCTTGAAGCACCCTTCCCCTCTATAGGTGGTGTCGGCGGCCTACATTAATCCCAAGCGCTACGCCTACGCGCGAGGCCAGCGATCCCATAACTTGTAGATGCTGGGGCGGCGGGACGTCGCGTGCAGGACTCTAATATAAAGTTGCGCGGCCGCAGGCCAACTCTATGCCAACCACCAATGCCAATCATACGTGGTAACCGCGGCTCCAGCCTCGCGATATGGAATGGCTGAGGGAATACGTCTCGAGGGGTCACCCCCCCCCCCTCACGATATTGAACGGCTGAAGGACGCGTCATTCGGCCCTCGCGACATTTCCGCCTCCAAGGTGGGGTGTCTCGTCGGCCAAAATAAATAGGCTTTGTGCGAGGGGAAACCCCTTCCCTGCAGAGTTTAAGGCTTGGGATGTCCTGGACAAGGACCTTGAATCCCGGCCCAGGACCAACGTCCGACTATGAAAGTCCCAAGACGCAAATAGGCAGAAGGGAAGGTTTCCCCTGCGCCCCTCGATCTCAACCTTTTTAAACGGGTTTTAACATGGCCTCTTAGGCCTCTCGAATACTCATCATAAGTATACCCACGCATACATGCATAAGAGAAATAGAGATGAGACGATCACTTCTCACAGGCACAGTGGGACTCCTCACAACCACGTATATGCATATGGGATCGCAGGCAGTCCAAATCCAAAATCCGAGCCACAGGAGATACCTGCAATCACACCAAGAATCAAGCGACAAAGCACGCACTACACGGAGTCAACCCCAACCATTCTCTATGCTCATACCTCTTCGCTTTAGCCATGCAAGCCCCACCCGCCGATCCAACCAACCTCAATTAAAAACTCAGTACCTTTGTTAAATGGTCATTCGATAAAAGTCCGGGTGAAACCCTTAAGAAACAGTAAAACCACCAAGGCTAAAGCCTTTTAGGTTGAGTATGGAGAGTGAGTTGGAATTGAGTCGAAGACCGACGAAGCGGCAACCGACCTGTTATCAGTGATAACAAAAGATGATCCTCGAGAGATCAAGCTGAGTCTGGTCCTGATCTTGAATCAGACACCCCAAAGGACTTGTAACACAAGATAGGTCAAATACCCAAGCTTGACCATCAGCATATGGGGGATAAACCTCCATAGCACGTTTTCACTCGAAGCTACCTGCCAGCTAAGTTCAAGCCTGCCTCTAAGCCAGTGCCCAAAGCAAAAGTAGGTTAATGGCAGAGTCTCCCCTATTCCGGGTGGATTGACAGAATCGTCACCTGTCAAGATATAATCTAACTCCTCTAATTCAAGAAAATTTCGGCAGCGCTTCCCGTAGGAAAAGTGCATTTTCAGAATTTATTCAAGCTCAAACGTCAAAAGCAGGAGTAACCTATGACTCTTTGAACGTCAAATTTTGTCTAACTCTCTGAATTGGTAAAAATTTAGGCAGCACCCCCTTTGGAATTGGGGATTTCCCAAATTTATACCAAGTCAAATTTGAACTCGGCCCCCAACCTTGAGTTCAACTTAGACAAAATCTGACGAACTCCTTAGTTTTGCAGAAATTTCGGCACCATTCCTCCTAGAAAAAGTGCTTTCCCAAAATTTATACAAAGCTAAGTTTAGAGCTTAAGACTAACTTTGACTCCTCAAAGTCCAATTTTGCCTAACTCTCTGAATTAGCAAAAATTTGGGCAGCACTCCCTTTAGAAAAAGAGACTTTCCAAATTTTTACTAAGTCAGATATACGGAAAAGGCAAGTTGGACTTTGACAAGTCAAAATCCGTCTAACTTCTTGAATTTGTAAAAATTTCGGCAGCGCTTCCCGTAGAGAGTAGCTTACCAAAATTTATATAAGTTCAAGTACAACAGCAAGTCTCAGGAAATGCAAGAATCGATTTAAGTAAAATAAAGTCAACTCAGAAAATGCAGGAATTGACCTGACTCCTTTCGCTCTAGCGCGTGGCGAGCCTCTAAAGCA